GAATCCTTACTCAGGCATGCCAGCTGTCCGAAGAAGATCCTCTGCCTAGGTCACAGGAGAATCTCATGCTATTATTCGTTGCGTGCACAACTTCTAAAGAGTACATTTTATAAAAAAATATTACCAGCGGTCTTCTACTTTCCATGCAAAAGAATCTGTAATGAATATTAGCATATGTGAAGGGGAAGAGGTATTTGAGGAATAACCTATGTTTATTTCCAGCTAAGTAATAATCCAGTGACTGAAGTATTTCTGATTTTTCTTGGAGTCCAGGTCATCTTTTCATGTTGACAGCCCAGGTGTGTGGCAGGGCTAGAGTCAATGGAAAAGAAGCCCCAGCTGCTGCCTGCTGACAATGCCAAAGTTCCAGGTGCTATTGCCAGAACAAAACAAAATGTTTCCTTGGCTGAATTTTCAAGTAGGAGAGGACAGACTAACATCATGGGGTGGAAAAACCACCCAGACCATCAGCAGCAATTCAAATATGTTTTTCTTAGGATAGTTGAAGCTGTTACCCAGATGCACAGCAAACCTTAGCACAGCACAAAGCATGGGCAGATGGACAGACAACTTTGTTTCCATCCCATACATCTACTCTGTTTCAAAAACAGCAAATCACAGAGTTGTGAATCACTCCATTTTTGAAAGGTTTATGGCACAGGCAAGAGGAAAATTTCCTCGTGCACAAACAAAGGTTTCCTAGACAAGGGAAAGTTGGACGCATAATTTAGTAATGATGCCAGTGATGCAAGATAAGTATATTATAATTAGTTCAGTTATTTTCCATTTACCATGAATAGGGATAACAGAATTTAAATCATGTCATCTGATACTGCCTATTTCTTTTGCCTATTTCTTTCTTGTAGTCTTTCATGAAGACAGTATTTCCAGCTGGGACAAGAGCAATTTCTTTTCAATAGCCAGTTGGAAGAACAAACCCACCTCTTTCTTTCATGCAGTTTAGTTTAACCTAAGGAAATTATATTTCTCCCCCACTTCTGTTTTTCTGTTCTTCCTGTGTAAATATGAAAGCACTGAGAGTACAGATACAAATGAAGCCTAATAGTTGATGAAGAAACTAATGACTGGAACAGGCAAAAATCCCTTCATTTTTTTCAGGTCGCCTATTTTGTTTGCATGGTAGTGGACAAACTCAGACTCAAGGAGAAACAGAATTTGAGAAGGCTTTGCAATTAACCTTTCTTATAGTAAAAAGGAGATATAAAACACAGACAGCCCTAATGGAACATAGGTCCTTGGATCCTGGACCAAAAGGAGAGTATTACTTACAGGAAAATGGGGACGAGTTTGGTCGTTCTTCCAGGAAAAGGAAATCTATTTTGCAAAACAGACACAAAGACAGACTGTCATGAATGAGTTTTTAGGTTGCTCAAAGAAAGACAGACTGTCATAAATGAGCTTTTAGGTTGCTCAAAGAATCACCAGCAAAGGTAAATCTGCAAAAGCAGATTTAATGTAAAAATGAAAGCATGACAGTTTGTTGGCAAGGTTCACTATTCTACTTACTGGATGGACAAAACACACAGGAAAAATCAGAATAAAATCTAAAATCAATCAGTCTAAAACTAAAATCAACCTCAAATTATCTACATGGAGGCAGGGAATGGAAAAAGGTATGGATGGGGAGAGGTAAAGATGAAAAGGAATAAGGGAGACTCTGGTTGTGTCAAAAGGTTTCAAGGGGATCCCTTTACAAACCTTAACCTTGGGTTTGACCAACAGTTTAAGCCTAAAAGTTTAGCAGCACTTAAACTTAACAGCACTTAATCAATAGCCTAACTTGAACAATTTAAGAAAATATTCTGTAGAATTTATTGTAAGCACATCGGTAACTGTTTTATAGGCCTGATTTATGAATCTAACATACTTACGAATCTAAGAGAGCAACATTCACAGGACGTTTGCTGTGGCTTATTCACACTCCAACGCACACAGACCTAAAGGAGTATGTGGATAATTCCCATTGAGTTCAGTGATGAGCTCATGTTGAATGCATTTGCATCTTCTCAACAGGCAGAGGGTTCAGCCTCAAGGAGTGGGATTATCAGCCCAGGTTCTGTCATTGCCATTCATCAGCAGTCCTCCAAGCACAGCAAGCTCGAGAGTTTTTGCTGGCTCTGAGAGGAGGGAGTTTGCAGCTTTCTGTGGTCTGAGAGAGCTCAAAGGTCCTTTTTTATGACAATCCAATATGAAAAGACACTGATATTGGAAAAAGGGCCAAAAATATCATACATAAAGATAAGTAACATTTAAAGAAAATAATGATGTAACAAATTGTTGCAAAGCATTAGGAAATCCATCAAAGTCTGAACTGTTTTAATGCCTGGTTCATTTAGGCATTGATTTAATTTATTTTGAGTGTGTTTGGAAGACTTGCATTCTGTTCAAGATGTCAGTAAAATTTAAGATTTCACTTCAGAAGTGTAAAAGTTTTGTCCTGGATGTTATGTGATTGTGTAAACAGAGAATTTAAAATACTAATAGAAAGCTGTGGATTAGTGGGACTTTACAAGGAGTTCCTGTGATACATAGATCTTGCTGAAAGGAAAAGCCATCCAGCAGTTCTTTTAATTTACTCAGACAGATAAGCAACCACTTGTGTGAGAAAGGCTTCTGAGAATAGGAGACAGAAAAAAAGTTAGTTTAACTGCATGCATCCCATACAGATTATATTTGATGTTAAACTACATTCTGACTACATGTTTCTGTAGACAGTTGAATCCTAAACTTAGAAAAAACAACTACAGGAATTCTATACCAGGCAGTAGTAAAGCCTGTGCATGATTTCACTGTTTTTGCTTGGGACTGTTAGGGGAAAAAAAACAAACAAACCAAAAACAAACACCAAAACAAACAAAAAATATATCCACCAGCCAAATTTAAGGACAGGTGTTTTGATTATTTAAAAGAAATGAGGACTCTTGATAGTAAGTACGCGCATGGTGTGTTAGAGTGGTAGTTGGGTCGTGTGATGCTGATTTGGTTTTGACACCAACTTTGATGGCTTCAATTGCAATTACTTGCACACTTGATCCATAAAATGTTGGTTGAGAGGAGAGATCACACATTATAATACTGAGGAGAGAAAGAATCTTTAGGCACTACATATATCCAGCTCATACCTGGCCAGACTTCAGAGGGAACTTAATAATCCTTCACTCTTAATTTACATCCACATGTTTATTTGTACACATTCATTAAGTCTTTTTCTGGCATTTCTCTAGCTTTTCAAGGTTGCTAAAACTGACAGATCACAATTGCATTACTGCACAGAATTAGATCTTGTCGTCTGTTCTTAGTCAAAAGTTTTCTTAACTTTCATTCATGAGCCATAGGAGCGCACTGGCTGTCATGCAATGGCAAATAGTGTTTCCAGTAAAGTATGGATCCTTATATGTAGGTCAGTAATCTAACAAGAAAGTAAAAGATGATCTGTTTAATGTGCATTTATCCTGCTAATGTTCTGTTGATGTTCTGTCCAAGGGTAGGACTTGTTTAAGAAAGCTGGTAAAGATATCTCTGTAACAATGCCTAAACCCTGTAAGAGACCACTATAATGAGATGAATTGCTAACTATTCTGGAGCCAGTAAGCACATCCCAGGGGAAGATTTATTATTCCTTTCTCTTTGTAGAATAGCAACATGCAAACAGATGTTTCCTCATACTTGTAAATCATTCAACTTCACTCAGCAAAGTTTTTGTCTCGTTTTCTTCCACTGGAAGCATTCAAAATATTTATTTGTGTCTTTTCAGCTGCATTATCCTGGTCTGACAAAAGCAGAATATCTTTTCTGTGGATATTCTTAAACACAAAACCTGATTTTTTTTTTTTCCCCCCTATGGCTTCATTCATTAAGAACCTCAACTTTGATATTTAAGAACAAAAACTAAACATTAATGTGCCTCATAAATCACTAAAAAATAAGATTAATATACCGCTGTGATTTCACAGTTTGTCATGCTGTGCTTGTTTTTATGCTGCTGAAATCTCTGCTGTTCAGTTTGTGTATTACCTCCTCAGTATGGTTTTGCTTCATTTAACATTTTCTGGAGAGATGTCCCCAGTGGGCCTGTTCCAGCAGCACCTCAGGACTGTCAACACCAGCTGAAAGTACTTCTGTGCTTAGTGTTCAACAGCAAGCTGAGCAGTAAGCTGGGTCCTGCACTGCCCATCTACCATCCTGATATAGATAGGCCCTCTCTGGGATGAAAGAATAGCCAGTTCCCAGGCTCCTTTGGCCCATCTCCAAGACTGACAGCCAGGCACAGTTTGGCTGGGTTATTTTCTCATATAGATGCTCCTTAAAAGGGAGCATCGCAACACAAACCTCTTAACAATAGCAATTCTTATTTCTGTTTGCCAGAGCGAGTCATGTAAAATTTGTAAGCCATAGATTAATATTTTATGTCTTAAAATATTTGTTTAAGAAATAGCCTTGTGACTTTAATAGACGTAAATGCCACACTGCTAGAAGTCAGCCATCTGGACTTTGTAATCTGGCAGGTAAACAAATGGATCAGGCTCTTTGACATCTCTCAGATTATTGCTGTTCATATGAGCATTAACATTTCCAAAGGTGTCTCTTTGCTTTGTCACATTTCAAAGGCTCCATTAATTTTGTTTTCGCATGCTTAAATATTTACTTTGACCTTTTGCCTCCTGGTATAATAACCTCCTGGCTTGTCGGACTGGCCAAATCAAAATACACTGATGTGTCCTGAATGGCCTTGTTTCTTGTATAAACATGCTGCATAAACATGCAGCTCTTGCAGAACAAAAGAGCGAGTCCTCTGCTGTACTGTAGTAAGTCTCAGTACGTTTCAGATTATCCGTACAGGTAGGGGCTGTGCTGAGATATGCCAGCTGGTTTCCAGCCTCCATACTCTGTGCACTTCAGGATTATTCCCCCCGCTGCAAGTAGTGCTCAAGTAAGACCAAGTAAGAGCAATGCTGTGTTGTTTTCTGTTCTATGTGCAGGTGCCGCTGTTGGAGTACCAACTCTGCTCCTGGTCCTAGTGGTGCCTGCCCTGGGTGTTCTTGCCTGCTCGGGATTCTGAATGTAGCTGGATTCACTTTGTCCTCCACCTAACACAAAGGACTCCCTATGAAGATGAGGACCACGATTCTTTTTGATTCCTGTGGCACCATCCTAAGCCAAATAAATTACACTTTAAAAAGAATTTCCCTACCGATTTCCTATGAACTTTAAGAGGACTGAGGCATCCAGGAACTCCTTCATGAAGTAAATCAACTTTTGAATGGCTAAGAAATATTTTTAACTTGTTCCAATATGCCTTATAAAACACTTATGCTGATCTGTGACAGTTGCATGATTCGGTCCAATGGGGCAAGTTACAGTGTTAAAACCCAATAACATAGGCTGTACAGTGAAAGTAAAATCACCATACGTAGGTGCTTTAACTTGAATAACAAATTGTGAAATATAATAGAGATTGAAATGTTGATTGTATGTGATAAATGTAAGAGTACTACGTCTGTCTGTACTATCCTATATGTTTCGTGTACTGCATATTTTTGAATAGCCCCGTCATCATTTAATGGGATTACTGGTTTTTAGAGAGACAGTCAAAGCAAAAACATTTCATTACTTAGAGCTATATTTCTTGAGGTTATTGGATAGAATTTGAAGGAATTTAAATAAAAGTCAGTGATAAGGATTTTTTTTTTTTAAATATATTCAGAATACCTGAGACATGGATAGCATGCTCAGCTTAAAGGAATTTACCTGTGCTTCACTGACCTGAGATTTATTATATTCTTTTCTTAAAAGAATTCTGTTGAAAAATTCTTCTATGGTAATTGTTGCTGGTTTTGGGAGTCAAATGTCAGCTTTCAGGGAAGCAGCGTAATGTACTGGTTTTGATTTAGTCTTATTCCTATTGTTATTATTAAGGTAGCAATATAACAGGAGTTTGGAGATGAAGTCCATGCTAAGATCAGCCAGGTGGACCATGAAATGGTAGGAAACGTATGTTATTTTTTAAAGTGAAAAGATTTAAAATATAAAGAAAGAAAAAGATATACAATAAATGGCAAAAGCAGAGTAGCACAGTAAAAAAAATTATTATATTTACATTTTTATGCTGCAGACACCAGGTGTTACCTTCCTGTATTGAAGGCGTACATTTGGGAGAACTATATGCTTTTTCAAGAACTTGATATTATTCTAATGTTCATAGTGTTGTAAATAAGAGTTTTAAAGTTCTGAGACCATTTCTCTTATTTGATAGAGTACTGGATGATCCAACTGTGTGTTAGTACGTGAAAGTCAGATCCCAACTGTTAGTCAAAGCTACATGTTTACTATGGCCTTTTCAAAATGGGAACTCTATTAGAGGTAGAGAATGTTTTTGTTCTGACTGTGTCTAGAGTGTTTCAGTGCTGGGTTTCTTTGTTGGTTTGTTTGGGTTTTTTTAAGAAATGCACATTCCTTTCATTTTCCATGGTATGCTGGGAATTAGTTTGAGTGTGAATGATGAAGAAACACAGTGATGGTGAATCAGCTGGCTCAAGTAATAGTGCAATGTCTGATGCTTCAAGAATTATAAGCTTTGAATCATATTTTATTAGCACAACCTTGCTAGCTACTTAGAAATAGATTTTATCTTTTTAGAACTGATACTGTAGAGGTCCGTAATAATATTTACATGAAGCAAGGATAGGTCTACTAATAATTTACACCCCTTTCTTTTATTTGTATAATTTTGTACTATATATTTACATGTAAAAGTGTAGAGTCTTCATTAATAGATAATATGGTTTTAGTTTAATTTTAACTATTTGTTACGAGATGAAATTTTTTTAAATAGGCAAAAGTGATAACTCCCATATAGAGGAATGTCAAAGTGTCAAAAACTACTGAGTTTCATAAATTGTATAAATTATTTGAAAGAGAAATGAGCTGTCTTCATACATAAGAAACTTACATGCTGTAAGTCTTCTGTACAAAAAACGTGTTTTATTGTGTTTCATTTGGTTTTGTTCTTTTGCAGTATGACTCATTTTTATATAATATACAACCACAAGTACATCTTTTGCCAAATGCATGACTGCCTTTTACTTTTCTAGTACATGGTGTAAAAAGCAAAACTGTTTCATTTTTGCATGGAAATAACCTGGGAAGGAAAGCCACTTCTCTTTTTTTAAATCAGCAACATGGATGAGGTAGGTGTCACATACTGATCAGATAGATGGAAACTTTTCTTCTTTCACATAATTGTGTAAATTTGACTGGGACCTTCAGCTTCAAATTGTTGTCAAGAAAAACTAACTAATGTATCATCTGCTTTAAAATGCAAGGTTCTTAATTAAAGTTTATATAGATAGACATATTTGTTGTTTCTTTATATTTCAGGAGAATTGATATTGCTATTATTTGATACTGATGAATATTGAACTGGTTTTTTAGTTACTTTTTATCTTTTCTTTTCAAATGAGTAGAACAGGACTGTGCTTTGTCCTTTTTATGAATGAAAAGTAAATGACAATTAAATAAATGTATTAATGTTACTCAAAGTATTATAACTGTCTTTTGAATTGGAGTTTTCTAGTTTCATAACAGCAATGTGGTCATCTCTGATAGTAAAGGCATGGATAGAATGAAGTCCTGTGTATCCCTGCCCTGCCTTCTTGTGTCTATTGCCGGAGTTCAAGAGCATTTCTGGATTATTTGCTTTGATTATAGGTGATACCGATAGAAAGATTTTCTTAAAATCAGTAGCAGAGAGCATTCTGAGAGCTTTTTGGCACTTTTGGAAGCAAGGGATAACTAAGGAGAGTATTTTCTCAGGCAATATTTTCTATTCCAGTGGACATATTTTGTGATTTAACCCCAGCCAACAACTAAGCTTCACACATCTGTTCACTCACTGCCTGATCATGAGTGGAGAGAAAAACAGAAGAGTAAAAGTGAGAAAGCTCATGGATTGAGATAAAGACAGTTTAATAGGAAAAGCAAAAGCATTGCACAGACGCAAGGCAAAACAAAGGATTTTTCATCACTTCCCATGGGCAGGCAGGTGTTCAGCCATCTTTCCCTGCAAGGGAAGCAGGGATACATCACGGGTAGGATGATGGGGAAGACAAAAACCATCACTCCAGCTGTTCCCCACTTCCTTCATCTTCCCCCAGCTCTATGTGCTGAGGATAGTGTTATATGATCTGGGATATCCCTTTGGTCAGTTTGGGGTCAGCTGTCCCATCTGTCCCTTCCCACCTCCTTCTGCACCCTTCTGCATTTCTTCCAGAGATGATCCATTTGTCCTTTTAACTTTTCTACGGGTAATTCTTTTTGCTTTGCTTTTCAAAAATTAATTTTATTTCCAAAAACAGAAGAAAGGAGACAATGCACAAAAGTCCTCATGAATGGAAAATTAAAAATGGTGTTCACATCTCAAGGAGAAGGCTTTTTTTTCTTTCATCTTTTACCTTAATGCTGATTAACCAAGTCTAAGGATCATGAAAAGACACATGAAAAGTACCTTCTTCACTTTAGTGGGTCTTGACTCTGGTTTATTCTTTTGAATAAACAATAACACTGGAAATTATGCCAGTTTTTTATTCTCAAAAACACTTAAAAAGCTCGTGATTTAGGTGGTAACTTCAACAGGCAAGTCCCAGTGAGTGCTGATCATTAGATTCTTCTGGTCTGTATTTGAAGAATCTGTGTCTTTAACACCTAATGCTTTTGGTCTTTTACTGTGTTGTCACAGCCACCAACTGCTTCACAAAAAGGTATGACATAATTTCTTTCTCAAAGCAGGCAGCAGACATGACAATATGTAATGCAATCTGCTGGCAAAAAGGCAAATCCAAACAGAGAATACAAAGATATTGATTGGGCATCATCCCCTCCTCATGGCTGTCATGGTGCAGCTATTTACCTGTGTCACCTTTGTCCTTCAGTTAGTTGACACCTGCAGAAATCAGCACATAGGAAAGTGTTCCCATTGTATTGAGATAGTCCAGCTCAGGCAAACTTAGAAGCTGTTTGGTGGCATGCAGCTCCAAGTGGGCACATGCCACAGGGGTGAATGGCACCAGAGGTCATTACCTGACTGCAGCCTGGTCTTAAATCCTTCAGGAAATACCCAGATGGTGTGGCCCCAGGGCAGCGGAGAGCACACAGGCAAGGAGAGCTGCTGTCCTTAGAGCACAAAGCCTCTGGCCAGGCATGTGCCCTGCCTCAGGAACTGTACGTCCAGCACAAGCCACTGAATTCTCCAAATTGGAGGAGAGAAGCCAATATCTTCCAGCATAAAGGTCCTTATGATGTGAACGGGGAGGATTTCAACATCCAGTGAGCCCTGAAGTGAAAAGCCTTTAGCAGTGCACAGCAACTTGGACCCACATGCCAATATCTATTCTAGCTGCACATTGATGTTCATTTCTGATTCTCACAGGAAGAAACACATTAAAAAATATCAAATTCCAGAGGCACTAAATTCAGGGAATTCATCCCATGCAGACAGATCTCTATGAATGGCTGCCCTGCAGTTGGTAGCACTCATGGGACATGAGTGGTAGATGAACTGGACTGGTGGAACCAAATGGTGTTTCCAAGCTGCTCAAATCTTGTAGTACCCACACCATTCATTAGGTGCTGTTCATGGCCAGTGCTTCTACCAGGACTGGTTTGTACCAGATGGTACAGCCCTGAGCCATGCCAGAGGCCTTGGCAACCACTTGGCAGTGAAGGAGTCTATGTCCCAGGGCTGGCACTACCAGCTTCAGGTTGGATTTGTTAGTTTTCAGTTAAAAATCTTCAGGGTTACTGTAGGTTCCACAAAAGCTCAGTGCATACTACTATTTTATCTGCAATCCAAAAGGGAGTGGAGACATATGCAGGGCTTTAGGAAAAGACCCTGTGCTTTTGCTGACCCACCTTTCATGCTTCAACATAAAAATGCTGTTATCTGTCTTGTGAGTCTCTGACAAGCCAATAGTATTCATTAAATCTATGTTGTTTTCTCAGCCCAGAAGGTTTTTAGCTATAGATACTGAGAAATAAGCATCTGTCAGATCTCTGTGACAGGACTGAAGCAGTTAATTATGGATCCTTATTTAACTGTACTCTGACAGAATAATGCATATCAGACTCCCTATGGATCTACCTGCAGCTCAAAGAGCTGCTGAAAATCAGTCACTTCTCCACATGCTCCTCTGAGCCTGCTCTGACAGAGCACCAAAGTACCACTGCAGGGCTCTGGCACGTGTGCCAAAGCCAAGATGATGTCTCCTCTAGCATCAAATCACAAGAGCCTTCATCCAGCTTCAGTACCTGATTTCTCCCTACTAAAAAGCTTGTGATGGAATGATACAAAAAGGTCTTCAGGGGCCCTTGTGTATTTATATATGTGAGCCTTGCGCAAGTAGGTTAAAGCATGCATTGAAATTGTAACATAATCTGAAAAAAATTAATACCTCAAGCAAAACAAGCCCAAAACAACAGAGAAAAGCTCTGCAGTTTTTTGTGTCCGCTTTGATACAGACAGGTTAAACTATTTGCTCCAAGAGTCAAAAAAGTGCACACAGAATAACTGCTGAGTTCTGCTCAGCAAAGGTTTCTATCACCAACCTACAGACTTCTGTGATGCTGCAGAGGTGATGACTTAGCAGTGCAGGAGAAGACAGTAAAACAATTCTGTGTAAGTAAGGGAGGA